TACTATGTGCAGGACCATCGCCCCTCATACCACAGTGACCCCCCTTCTCTACACCCCTCTCATATACTATGTGCAGGACCATCGCCCCTCATACCACAGTGACCCCCCTTCTCTACACCCCTCTCATATACTATGTGCAGGACCATCGCCCCTCATACCACAGTGACCCCCCTTCTCTACACCCCTCTCATATACTATGTGCAGGACCATCGCCCCTCATACCACAGTGACCCCCCTTCTCTACACCCCTCTCATATACTATGTGCAGGACCATCGCCCCTCATACCACAGTGACCCCCCTTCTCTACACCCCTCTCATATACTATGTGCAGGACCATCGCCCCTCATACCACAGTGACCCCCCTTCTCTACACCCCTCTCATATACTATGTGCAGGACCATCGCCCCTCATACCACAGTGACCCCCCTTCTCTACACCCCTCTCATATACTATGTGCAGGACCATCGCCCCTCATACCACAGTGACCCCCCTTCTCTACACCCCTCTCATATACTATGTGCAGGACCATCGCCCCTCATACCACAGTGACCCCCCTTCTCTACACCCCTCTCATATACTATGTGCAGGACCATCGCCCCTCATACCACAGTGACCCCCCTTCTCTACACCCCTCTCATATACTATGTGCAGGACCATCGCCCCTCATACCACAGTGACCCCCCTTCTCTACACCCCTCTCATATACTATGTGCAGGACCATCGCCCCTCATACCACAGTGACCCCCCTTCTCTACACCCCTCTCATATACTATGTGCAGGACCATCGCCCCTCATACCACAGTGACCCCCCTTCTCTACACCCCTCTCATATACTATGTGCAGGACCATCGCCCCTCATACCACAGTGACCCCCCTTCTCTACACCCCTCTCATATACTATGTGCAGGACCATCGCCCCTCATACCACAGTGACCCCCCTTCTCTACACCCCTCTCATATACTATGTGCAGGACCATCGCCCCTCATACCACAGTGACCCCCCTTCTCTACACCCCTCTCATATACTATGTGCAGGACCATCGCCCCTCATACCACAGTGACCCCCCTTCTCTACACCCCTCTCATATACTATGTGCAGGACCATCGCCCCTCATACCACAGTGACCCCCCTTCTCTACACCCCTCTCATATACTATGTGCAGGACCATCGCCCCTCATACCACAGTGACCCCCCTTCTCTACACCCCTCTCATATACTATGTGCAGGACCATCGCCCCTCATACCACAGTGACCCCCCTTCTCTACACCCCTCTCATATACTATGTGCAGGACCATCGCCCCTCATACCACAGTGACCCCCCTTCTCTACACCCCTCTCATATACTATGTGCAGGACCATCGCCCCTCATACCACAGTGACCCCCCTTCTCTACACCCCTCTCATATACTATGTGCAGGACCATCGCCCCTCATACCACAGTGACCCCCCTTCTCTACACCCCTCTCATATACTATGTGCAGGACCATCGCCCCTCATACCACAGTGACCCCCCTTCTCTACACCCCTCTCATATACTATGTGCAGGACCATCGCCCCTCATACCACAGTGACCCCCCTTCTCTACACCCCTCTCATATACTATGTGCAGGACCATCGCCCCTCATACCACAGTGACCCCCCTTCTCTACACCCCTCTCATATACTATGTGCAGGACCATCGCCCCTCATACCACAGTGACCCCCCTTCTCTACACCCCTCTCATATACTATGTGCAGGACCATCGCCCCTCATACCACAGTGACCCCCCTTCTCTACACCCCTCTCATATACTATGTGCAGGACCATCGCCCCTCATACCACAGTGACCCCCCTTCTCTACACCCCTCTCATATACTATGTGCAGGACCATCGCCCCTCATACCACAGTGACCCCCCTTCTCTACACCCCTCTCATATACTATGTGCAGGACCATCGCCCCTCATACCACAGTGACCCCCCTTCTCTACACCCCTCTCATATACTATGTGCTGGACCATCGCCCCTCATACCACAGTGACCCCCCTTCTCTACACCACCCTCATATACTAAGGGGCATACTTGGTGAAAGTCGCATTCACTGCTTTATAAATAGGCTCCTCTGTGTTAATCAGTTGAAAGCATTTACTGAACCATCATGTATAGAAGGTGCTCCCTACTACGGCCTCCCCATCTGTTGTTGAACTACTAGTCCCAGCATTACACATGGCATCAATCAGTGACCGTTGTCAGAGAATCAGTCCGCGGCCCTGCACCCGACATATTATCACACTTTCCTCACGGGTTACACATTGCTCCAACTCTATATTGTTCCTTTACAGGCCCGGGCACACAGCACCGCACAGTACATACAAAAGGTAACATCATTTCCTCTACATACTTCACTGTTATATCGATACTGAGATAGCGGAACCATCCGGAACATCTATACTGAGGTAGCGGAACAATCCGGAACAAGCTTCCATACCAATAAATGACACATACAGTCAGGGCCGGATTTCTCACAAGGCCAACCAAGGCCCGGCCTCGGGGCAGCGGGGAGTAGAGGGGCAGCAGAGAGTAGAGGGGCAGCGGGGAGTAGAGGGGCAGCGGAGAGTAGAGGGGCAGCGGGGAGTAGAGGGGCAGCAGAGAGTAGAGGGGCAGCGGGGAGTAGAGGGGCAGCGGGGAGTAGAGGGGCAGCGGGGAGGAGAGGGGCAGCGGGGGGGGT